GTCTAATGTGGACTGCCATGCTCTAACGACTGGAAACATCTTTTCTCCCAGCACCACCACGATCAGGAACTTGGAAAGGTGAGACAGACACATCGTAAGGGCAAAAAGGGCAGGCCTGGAGCTGGGAGTTGTCATGACATCAACACAGGTCTTCAGAGGCATTCACAAAACTGGAATCCAGCCCTTATTGCTGTAGAGACTGGACCATCCTGCTCAAAATATCGATACTTAGCAAGAGCTTCTAGTGTCCCCATAATCACAGAGTGAAGCTCTTAGGGCTTCTTTGGGCTCAGGTCAGAGCTGATCAGAGCCTCTTACTGCTCTAACTGCACAGCCTCCGCTACCTCAGAGGAGAACACACTCGTGCTTGGTGTTCTGGTGATCTGTCCTCCAACACCTGACAAACCAGCCAGAACAAGGGCAGTCACAGAACTAAGTGCCAACATTCATTTCCAAAGGGAAGAGAAAAGAAAAGGAGTAAGTAACACCAAGTTCAACAGCTAGTTCAGAGCAACTAAGGGGACACAGTTGAATTAACAAATATCAGTATCTGCTGACACCGAGCAAAAGCAGCAATTTTTCCATGACAATTGCTTTTGTGTCACGGCAAAAAATGCAAGCCAGGCACAAATGCTAGGCTGCTGAGAGGTGGTGAAGAGGGGTGAGAGGGGAGAGAACTTTACCAAAAGGAAACATGTCTGGAAGACTTGGACACAAACACAAGCATGCAAGCTTGGTGAACACTCTCCAACCAGTCACATGCCACTTCGAATAATTACCCTACATACTTAGCACAGTTACTCTTCTTTACTAAGAGTGCCGGCCTAGGAAAGCTGGTTTTGGCAGCCAGGTAAGAGATATAGAGCTCGCTCTACAGTGAAGTTTGCCTGCAGTCAGTTACAGCTGCAGCAGCAAGGACAAAGGCTTTCAAATTTGACAAGGAAAGCCATTTTGAGTCTGCACAACATTGCTCTTCATTTAAACCAGCGCACATTCTCATCGTACGTGGATCCTTCTTCAAGGAAGCTTTGAAAGGCCTGGAGTCCCCCTCAGCTGCACATGGGGAGAGACAGAGCAGAGCTCCAGAGAGGACACGTACCAAGCACAGCAGTACGGATGCAGCATGAGCCTGCCTAAAGCTAGTCATGAGGAAAACCCTGAGGACAAGGGTATAGTTAAGGCCGTCCTTCAGACATCTCCACGTAACCCTTCCCTTGGGCCCCCAGCCTGTGGGACACTGTCCCATTAGTAAGCTCTTTCCTTCAACCTGAGTAGAGGAAAATGACTTCCAGAGGTAAAACCCATGTCAATAAATGAGGAAAGAGGAGGGGAGGGAGACTGGCTCATAAAGCTCACCTGACCTGATTACTACCTTTGTATCAGCTTCTGCCAGCAAGAGACCAGATGAAGTTTACTGACCATTCAGATGTAATCTACTTAGTGCTATGCAACATGCCGATACATGTGTTTTTAAAAAAAATCAATGCTATGCACTATCAAAATGCATCTGTTAAAGAGACAAAGAATCCAATAATCAGGAGATACCAACAGTTACTGAAAAATCATAACCATGAGGGGAAGTTGCCTCTGTACCAAACTCCATTCAGTATTTTCACCAATGATCTGGCAGAAGACAAAACCAGTACTGCTAAAAATAGTGGACTGGTAAATAATACAGCAGACAAGGCAGAGAGAGAGGCATCTGGGCCTGTCAGTGTGTGCAGCCAACTCAAATAGGAGATGCAGTCATTCAACAAAACGCAAAGTCAGACACCTTCACCCATACCATGCAGGTCACATCTGGGTATGGACGAGGATTCAGAAGTCAGAATATACAGGCACTTAACACTCATTTCTAGTGTCACACTATGGCCAAAAGGGATTGCTCTTTTGTTCTACAAACTGGAATTAAGAGAATCTACCTCTTATGTGGCAATGGTGTTTATTCTGTGGTTTACAGATTCCTTAGGGCACTTGAGAAAGCAAACAAAGAGGGGAAAAGCTGTATACCACTTCTAAGAGATTCGTAGAAGTTATTGAAGAGAAGCCAGCTCTTAGGTGTTGGCTTAAATTTGCTCTGCAGGTGTCTGCACCTTCATCAAAAAAATTTTAAGGGTTTGCAGATAAAAATGATATGGAAAACTTCTACTATACGGCATTGGTATGCTCAATAGTGAGACTCTGCAGGTGGTTGGGGTGTCTGCATTTTACAAAGCAATACAGAAACACCGGAAAGGGTGCAGAAAACCACAGAAACTACTCCAAGAGAGAAAGTGTTTTACACTGAGAATCTTAAAGGGCTCAGTTGGCTTCATTTCTTAAAAATAACGTGAGAGGTAAGGCAATTACAACACACAAATCCCCTTCACAGGGAGGGACAATCAGCTATTAGAGGCCTCTTTAATCTAGCACAGAACAACCTAACAAACCAGTTGTTGGAGACTAAAGGCAAACTGAAAGCAAGGCACCTTTCCCTCCCACACCCTCCTTTCTAGTTTGTTTTAATTAAAAAGTGTCAGAAGTAGTACATCTTCTTATCTTCAGATCAAGTCTGGCTGCTCTTTCCCACTGTTATGCCTAAATCAAATACATATTATTAGCAGATACAATTCAGGAGACTCGGTGAGACACCAATACCTAGAATATCCAGGAAGACAAACTAGATGGATTTGTCTTTAAACTATGGATATGAAAATCCAGGCTTCAGCAGGTCAGTAAGTTCACAATAAGGTTGAGGGAACAGATGCGAATAGGGGAGAAACATGGGGATTTAAGAGTTTCAGCTGCCCTCAGTATTAATGGCAAATGAGCTCTTAAAAAAAAACAAACTTATAAATTACAGTTAGGATGCTTTTTATGTTTCTCTTCAAGATTTCAACTTACCTTTTTTTCAAAAGCCAGAGATTTAAGTTCTAACAAAAGCTAAAACTGTCTCTGATCACTTGCATTTACTGTTGTGTAGGACAACTGTCCTCATTAGATGTTCTTTTAATTCACTACTTCTGCAATGACAGAAAATGTATATACAGCATTCAGTGTAAAGATGAAACTCAAGGCTACAGAAACCACATGGTGGAAGAGACTTTGGAAAACACACAAAGTTTAGGTGAGACAGTCCAGCTGTTGAGAGAAAGTAATATGAGCCACAGCTCACAGCAGAGTTTGGGGTTGAGGTGTATTTTCCACAAGGATTTTGTCAATAAATGGGACAAGAGGTGGCTGGGGATTGGAAAAGTGATTGTTTGGTACTCCTCAGACACTGGTTTGAAGGTGGCAGACACAGAAAGGTGTTCCTGAGGGTTAGACTGGATAGTTTAAATTCTGAGTAAAAACTACTATTTAGACTTCTGGAAAAGCCACTGAGTTAATGCTGTGGTATTAAAATTATTCAGTAGTTGTGAAAAGAAATCCAAAGGAACAGTATGCACCAGAAGGGCCTTTTCTTGCTCAGTAAGCCACATCAATTATCCGGGCATTGGATACAACCCTCCCCCCGTAACAAACTGCCTGCAACACAGATGGCAATCATAGAATCATAGAATCATTAAGGTTGGAAGAGACCTCCAAGATCATCGAGTCCAACCATCAACCCAACAACACCATGCCCACTAATCATATCTGAATCATATCTTGATCATATCTGAACAGTATCAAAATCCCAAAGCTGAAAGGTAAAAAAACCCCACAACACCCAAAGGCTTTGCTTTCTCTGCTTACTTCAATGGGAAATGAGTAAAACTAACCACTCCCTTCTGCAAATCCTCATCCTCCCAGCCTGTTCCACATCCTCCCTCTCACAGAAACTCGACTCACCCAAGGGCTAACAAGAGGTTTGTCCCAGACAGACCTTTTTCTTACTGTCTGCATCTTTATTCTGATGGCTGGGATACAACAGCATCAAGTTCTAATCGTCCGTCTTAATACACACACGTGCTCCACGTGGACGCCACAGCCAAATATTCAGAGCAGGTTACAGACAAGCAAGCTGGTTCGTGCTGCATCTGCAAAGATCTGTCCGAACAGCAGCCCTTATGCTATCAGGCATAACTGGTTTGCAGGCCAAGGCAAGTCACTGCGTGCATCGGCCCAGGCCATCCAACACCCATATATGTTCACCAAACCTCAAGTCTGTTCCCAAAGTCCCCCAAGAACATTGAGCAAAATTCCTGTTTCCTCTTCCCCTTACACTAGATCAGTTTATAGGCCAAAGCAAGATTTCACATGGTCTAAGTGCCCTGAAACGCCGTGGTGATTTAGGAATGTCCTGTATAACAGCATACCACTT